TGTAAAGCCTAGAAGATTAGGTGGACATGCTCATCATTAGCATAACGCAGCAGAGACTACTCAATTTTGACCAAAAATACTTTTCCCTTTCTTCCTGGCAATTAGCACATGACTGTGCCTGATGACTATGAGCAGAGTGCTGTGTGTCATTTCTGGATGGGTTCTAAGAGGTAGGTGTGTCCATTCTTTGTTCTTTCTTTCCCTTTCTGGTAGCTAGATGCAGAAGGTGACTAGTCCTACAGAATAGCAGAGCCTGGATCCTTGAATCCCCTCATGGTAGAGAGCCACTTACCAAACAGGAACACCCACCTTAGAAGACAATATGCGTGAGAAATAAGCTTCTGTGATACCAGAGCAATTGACCTTTGGGGGTCTATTTTTCACTGCAGTGTAGGCTATCTTAACATATTACCCATATTGATTTGTGAGGAGGAGGTTCTGAATATCTTCCATTTTAAAGTTTCCCCATAGGATCTTGCTTTCATCATTGATAGTGAAAATTATTTCTAATTAAAAATATAATAATGTGAGTCCAGCCCCCGTTAGAATTCATCATTAATTACAAATGAATGGCTTGGGGACCTAATGAAGTTTTACTTAAATTCTTATCAACGCTGGCCTAACCAGTGGGTTAGGAAAGCACCAACATAGACAAGTGGGACAAGTCAAGGAGATGCTTTCAACCTGGGATTTGAAGATTCAGTGTCACTAAGCCCCACCTTTAAGGAGACATGGAAAGGTCTGTGTCTCCAGGACTGGAACTGCCTTCTTCTCACCTGACTCCCGTGTCCTGCCCCGCACCACCTCGCTCCACGGCCCGGACCCAACGGCGTTGAAGGCCTGCATCTGCAGCTCGTATTCAGTCCACTCCTCCAGCTCCTCGATGGTGAACTCCCTCTCCAGTCGATCATTGATGACTTGGGCCAGTGCTGAGGACTGGAGGTCTGAGCGCCAATACTTAATTCGGTAGCCCACGGACTCGGGGTTCCCATTGTACTGGGAATCAGGCAGAGGCTGGAAATTAACAGTGGTCCATGATGACCTGACGTCTCAGACCTGTCACCTCTAAAGCTCTCAAAGGATGGGCCTGTCTTATGAGGCCAATTCCATGGAAGATATATATATATATTTTTTTTTTTTTCCCTCCCCCTAAAAGATGAGCAGTAAGGGGATCTTAACCCTTGACTTGGTGTTGTCAGCACCAAGCTCCCCTAAGTAAGCCACGGGCCGGCCCATGGGGGAATATTCTTACAAACTTCTACTCTGTTTTTCCCTGACAGTTTCCTTCTGTGAATAAAATGAAACTCTGCCAGTAACTTTGGCTGGACATAATTTCTTTTAATATACTTTGGCTTAATTTTGTAGGGAAATGTTCTGATTAAATATCAGACTGCTCTCCTACAAACACTGAGCACCAGTTCCATGTTGACCTGGCTTAAGGACTTACAGGTCCAGCAGGCAGCACCATTGGCTTTCCTCCCCCAAAGGATAGGCCTCAGTTCCAAGAAGAGAGTGAGTAATGCTACTGATTAAGAAGAGATCCTGAGCCAGTCTGAGATCCAACACTAATTGTAAAATGTAATACTTTTTGGCTTAATGACAGGATTAGTTTTGACTAGGAAAAGGGCATGACTAAGAAACTACTAAGCTCTGGATTCACATGTGTGCTCTGGCCACCTCAAGACTATCATGCTTGCAGCCTCCCCTTCCCGACTCCCAACTTACCACCCAGCGGAGCCGCAGGCTGGTCTCACTGGCAGTTCGGACTGTGATGCTGTTTGGAGCCACATCGGGTGGGGCCTGCAGAGTCTGGATGACCCGAGATGATTGACTGAAGGGGCTTGGACCAACAATGTTCACTTGCCTCATTCGAAATCTAAAGATAAGGCCATTGATGAGTTATTC